AGGAACCAACCTTTATGGTGCTATTTTCGTGCACATCTTTGAGTCAGACTTGAGGGGCTGTGTTGAGCTCCAAGAGCATCTCCTTTCTCTATTTTTAAGCCTTTGGTATGTATACCAACCTTTGATCATGAGTTTAATGCTTAAAAATGAAAGCTTGATGCATGTTAAGGCGTAAAGATGATAACTTGTTGTGGGGTAATGTTGAACACACCTAGAAATGCATGTGTAGGTGCTTTAAATCGTTAAAAACCCAACCTTTGAAGGATATCTTCACGAAATACATTTTCTGCATTCTGTCGTGAAATATCCGGATATGAGTTTTGTGTATCCGGATACTAGGTATCCGGATATGGGATTCTGGATATCCGGATACGTCCATTGAGATATTCGGATATTGCATATCCGGATATGGTCCCGAGGAATATCCGGATATTCTGGGATTTCGTAGAACAGTAGCTGTGCTGTGTGTACAATAGGCTATTGGGGGTTTGTGGACCCTAAATTGATGAAGTTGAACTTCTGTATTTAATGGATTAAGCCAGAATCATGGGATTAAGGGCTTGTGGCTTTGTTAGAAGCTTTAAGACTTGAAAACGTAATGAAAAGGCATTGTCTTTAAGTTTTATGCTTGTGTTGCATTATTATTGATATAGTATTGGTCCATAACAGATTGTGAATCTGCTGTGTTTGGACTTTGAGCTGTGGACTCTTGGCTTTTGGAGTTAGCTTACAAGGTAAGCTTTCGTGTCCTCGGTTTAGCCATGTTGTGGTTCCACCATGTCCCATGGGGGTATGGTTTATGCATGCTGTGTACATGCTTCTGGATATTTGATATGTTGATTGAACTTTACATGTAATGACTTTTAATATGCATGTGTTGTTTCATCTTGACGGGAAGCCTGAGTATGTAGCGCCATACAAGATGGTGTACCGGGGTGAATGCAAGTGGTACTTGCACGGTGTGTAGGTGATAGACGTATACATGCACTGTCTCTGGCAAGTAGATTAGTATTGACACACATGACATGATTATCTGCTGCATTGCATTGTTTTTGAAATGATAAATGATAAACTGCTTTTGAACTTATATTGCACATGTAAGTGAGCTTGGGGTGGAAGATCCTTGAGGACTCACTGACTTACTGAGATTTCTAGATTAGAGATCTTACCCCACGTTTGGGGAATGCTTATTTCAGGATCAGGTAGTATGGGTACTGATGCCTCAGGCGGCGGGAGGCCGGAGCTTAGCTGATTTTGTTGTTTCTGCTTATTTGTTAGCATGACTGGATTTGGATGCTGTTAATGTTTTCCGCTATTTATGATATGATGTTGTTGAGACTGATGTTGGGCAAGTTGCCTTATTTGAGTGAGCATGGGGATTGTCCATGACACTTTCTGTTAGTACTTGTAGTTTGGAGTTGTATAAACTGTTAGATGGTCCGGTCTACGTTGTTGTAGTTCCGTGACTAGAGCCACACTTATATTATCTATGTTATGAGGTATTTCAGTTAGCTGTTTTATTGCAATTACATACAGGCGATGTTTTCTTAATTGATTATTAAGCAAGTTGGTAATGTTAATGGCATCATAATTGAAAAGAAAAAGTAATTCCGCATTTTAATTAAGCGCAGTTTAATACGATATTATGATAACATTACCAGATATATACGGGGTGTTACATGAAACGTGTGTCAGCAAAACGTGTCGAAGCGTTGACCGCGTGTTTCAAAATGTTAACCGCGTGTCGAAACATGTCAGAGCGTGTCGGTGTCCGACACACATTTTTTAAAAGAAATTGTGTATCCGTGCTTTGTTGTTAGAGAGTATTGTGAAGACAAGTTCTGCGGATAACGTTGTTTGTTTTTTTGGGGTGTTTAGTAGATGGACAAATTTTATTTTCCGGAGAAAGTGACTTTGGCTTTCTTTCTTTTTCATATTTTGTATAAAGATTGTAAAATTTTTTTCGGGAAAATCAGATTTTTGGAATTTCAATTTGTGAAGAAAATTTCCATAAAAAGTACCACCAGGTGGATGGTATTTTCGGATTCCCACCTAATGGAAAAAAATTTCAAAAATTTTTGGACAAAAATATACATATTCTCTTCGTCCCTGTTCGTACCCACCATTACCATCAGAACCTGGCTCCAGGACCTTGAACGAAATCTACTGGTCTTGGCATTGCCAGTGGAGTCAATCTGCAAAATAAGGTCACTATTTTTCGATGATTCGTAGAATCGGTGAGAAAGTAAACACTAGAGGAGAATCTCTTGAGACCCATATTGGGTTTTGGGATTCTTATCGTACCCACGTTTTGGGTTTCTGCAAGATTGCAACCTACGATCTCTGAAAAAGATGAATGCTTAAGAATGCAGGTGTGAATTTTTGTTGGGTCAATGTTTGTGAAGTTTCAATGGGAACAGTATAACTAGCGGACAAAAAGGTTACTTTGATAAAATCACCCACATTTCCAGTAATATTTAATCATCAACCAAACATAGAATCAGTAAACTTGAACCAATATTATGGATAATATTTTGGTCTACTAAATAATTTTTTTGGTCATATTTTCAGAAAATTCACTTTTCTAGGATATTTTTGATAATCTTGATTTCCAGGCACAAAAAAATCTTCCAGCATATTGTTGGTTTAGAAATAGACGAGCTTATTTTATGTGCTCGAGGAGCACATGCTCCTTGCGCTAGGGGTGACAATTTGGGTTGGCCCGCCCCGCCCCGTCCCGTTATCAATCCGTCAAAAATGAGGCGGGGCGGGTTGACCCGTCATTAAATATGGGTTGAAAAAATGAACACACTCCGGTTTATGATGGGTTGGCGGGTCAACCCACCAATTAAATAATAATAATTAAAATTCAAAAGTAGATTATATTTTATGAATTTTTTTAATATTATTTTATTTTATTTCACATTTCTCTTAATTTTTTTTAATCTCAATATTAAATGTAACTAATATTTGTCAAACATTCCTTAGGAACTCATTTGCCTCCATAAATAATATTGTTATTCTTTATTTTTTCTAGGAAGTACTAAGATAAAAAAAAGTGAATATCACAAAAAATTAATTACAAGTGAAATACTATCTGATTGTAAAAAAAAAAAAAAAAATTATAACCTGGCGGGTCAACCCGCCTCGCGGCGAGTTGAACCCATTTTAACCCATTGCTAGGCGGGGCAGATTGAAGTGGGTTGGTGGGTTGAAAACTTCAATCCAACCCGCCACATTTTGACGGGTTGGTTAGTTGACTCGCTGGACTCAACTCATATTGTCACCTTTACCTTGCGCACAAACCAAAAAATATGGAATATTAGTGAAAATAAATATAAAAATAATGATATTATAAAATTTTTACTTTTTACTATATTTCGTAAAAAAAATATCGAGTACTTTGTGCTCGTTAGCACCGAAAATATTTTTGTAATGAATTCTTTTTTGGTGCTTCAGAAGCACCATACTCCTTTTTGAAAATAGAAAAAAAGAAGGAATTGAAAGAGAATTACGAAAAAAATGAAGGGATTTAAATTGAATTATTTTTTGTCATCCAAAGTGCGTATTCTTGTAGCACAATAAAAAACTCCCTATTTCTGCTCATCCCTCATCTTTGAGTTTGACTTTTTTCACTCTGCCACAAACCCTAACAACAAAGCTTGCTTGTTATTGCTTAAAAGCGCCCGTACCTAGAAGTGATTACTATTGGGTTAAGATATTATATACGGTTAGGTTACAAAATTCGAAAAATTAAAATTATATAAGGTGTTTCATAATATATATTTTAAAAATTAACACGCAATGTATTAATTTTAGTTGAAAATATTGTAATTTATCACTTGTTTTTATTTTTTAAAATAAGTTTTAAAGTATTATCTACCATTGGATTTGGTTGGGCAAGGGTTTTTTTTTTTTTTTTTTCAGTTTCTCTTCTTGTTATAAGTAAAACTTGAGTCAAACAGATTTTTATAAAAGCTCTTATAATAAAAAGAACTTTTTATATTATGAAAAAAAAATCAAAAGCCCCTTAGAGGAGTTTTTTTAAAGTTGTATTAGTTTATTTTTAATTTGTGCTTTTAAATAATTTTTAGTTTTAAAATTATATATTTAACAAACAATTTTTAGCTTTATTTGTAATTTTTTTAACTTTAACTTAAAAGTAGCTTTTAGTTTAAAAAAAGATATGTGTCAAACATGCTCTAAATCTAATTTAAAAGCTTATCCGAATCAATTTATATTTCTCGAATCAATTTATGAACACTCTAGCTGTAGGGGAAATTTTCATTCAAAAAAGTTCTCAAAATTTTCCGAAACACCTCTCATTTTTTTTTCAAAGAAATCTTAATTTATATCATTTAGAGCCATTTTGTTTGTAATTTTTTTAAATAAAAAATATTGTAAAATAATTATAATTAAATAAGTTTTTAAAAAAATATAAATCTAAAAAATGTTGTTTTAATGTTTTTCTTTTTTTGAAAAATGGGTTATTACATTTTGTTTTTAGGAAAAATATTTGACATTTTGAGAGAAACTAATGTGTGTTTTGATGAATTTTTATCTTACCTTTTTCATTTTCTTCCTAATTATGTGGAGGAGAAAAAAGTAAAAAATCATAAAAACTACAATAATTTTATTTAAAATGACATAAAGTTATATTTTTAAAATAAAATATTTTTTTATGGAAATATAATTTTTCATATTGCATGAAATAATTTTGTTTAATTAGAAATTATATTTTTTATATATATAATATCTGTCACTACCACCTTTAAAAGAACGAATTAAATAAAAATATATATACTATCTATCTCCATGGAACTCTACCGTCGGTGGTCAATTTGTCTTGTCCATTTATCTTTTTGATAATCACTTCTATCTGTGGGTCCTCCGTCGTTCATTTTATTTTGGTTTAAACTGTAAAGAGTTAGCTAAACTGTACATTGACATATTTTTACAGTATTTGTAACAAAATATAAAAAAAAAAAATATTCCTGTCACTCATTAGATTACAAAGTACAAATGAAGCATTTAAAAAAAAAAAAAAGCTGAAAAATATCTCATGCACCTAACTATGGACGAAAAAAGATAGAATTCGTAGAAAATTTAGTCTACTGCTTTAACACAAGCAAGCACTAGAGATTCATTTGCTAATCAATTATACATATTACTACCTATGAGATCTCTAAACTATGCTTATCTTAATAAAACACAGAGTTTAAAGATAGAACTAGTGACTCGTATACTACTTGCACGAAAAGGCTGGAACAACAAATCCGACCAGCATCATTCTTCCAGTTGGTATGGATGGAATACAAGTTGCATTATTCATGCAGGACATGCTCCCCTTGCATCATCCTGATCATGTGAAATTGAACTTTAGGTAATAAAAAGCGACGAACAAATTATTTTCTCCCTGTACATTCTTGAGAATTATACATCATCTTTTTGGTCATGTCACTCACAAATGCATATATTCAGCCTACAAGTTATATCCCAATCCAGCAAGCCGTCTCTTTGAAGCATTTGATATTGCCACCTGACCAAGCTTGTGAGCATCACTTGATACATTCCTTTCGTTGATTGGTGTATAATGCTGCAACCATTCTCCAATATAAGCCTGAAACATAAAATGGATTTGATGAAATCAGGGAAGAGATATACGAGCAAAAAAGCATCATCTGTTCAGAATTGAACAGGTTAGTTATAGGTGGATCTACTAATCTACTAGAGGTTTACCTTATCGTTCTGATGCATCACGCAGATATTTCCAAGTACCAGTGTTAAGAAATGTATAATGCAGCCATGATACAAGTATACAACTAGAAAACCTTTTCGAGTAAACCAAGCAATACACAACATGTACAGCCATACAGGAAAAATATGGCTAACTATAATTATGATATAGTTTTATTACGCAAGAATATCATAATAATTTAAAGATAGGAAGTCACCTGTTGAGGTCTCATTATCTTTGTATCAGGATCATCCAAGGACTCTTTCCAATGTGCCAAGTACCCAGCCATTCGAGGGATAGCAACTAAAACTGTGAAATACTCAGGTGGAAATCCTATAGCCCTGATTGCATTAAACCATTAGTTCAAGCCTTTCATGATGTTCTGGAGGAAGCAACATATTTTTATCCTCCCTAGTTAGAATATATAACTGGATGTGATAATAGATTACCTATAAATTAATCCAGAGTAGAAGTCAACATTTGGATATAACTTCCTCTTGATGAAAAATTCATCAGATAGTGCAACCTTCTCCAACATAATTGCAACCTGAACGATCAAATAATTGCATAGAGAAGTTAGAACTTTTAAAGTTTAACTAAATATGCTGAACCAAATAAGAATTAAATTAAGATGTTTTCCTAGTAGATTATAATAGTAGTGTCAGATACAATAAATAATACTTTAAATTTGAAAACAAAAAGAGTTGCTGGAGATTTTAAATGACTTGAGTTTAAGCTTGAGCTTGTTGCTTAGTTGAACAAACGAGCTTAATGGAAGCATTTAACATGTTGAGCTCGAATAGTTCATGGATAGCTCAACTCATCTACACTCCCACTCATGACCAGCATAAATAATTTCAGGAATATAAACAGACAGGCAACGCAGAGACAGGAACTACAAAATAAATAAACACCTCAATAAGAGGATCCCGGCCAACTATGGAAAACACTTCCTCTGCCAGTTTTCTTAAGACCTTTGCTCTGGGATCATAGTTTTTGTACACTCGGTGTCCAAAACCAGAGAGCTTTCGTTTCCTGGAGGAAAAACACAGAACAAGAATATCAACAAAAACTATTACCCCCGCATGCTGCAGTGAGACCTCCAAAAGAGGAGGCAACAAGATCAAGGCATTATGCTATACTTCTAGGTATAACAAATAGGCAAAAAGTAAGAACTATAAAACAAAAAGAAAGTGATAGCCACCTGGCTTTTACACCTTCAATGAACTTTGGTATGTTCTCAACAGTTTCAATTTCACTCAGCATTTTGAGGACAGCCTGTAGAATCGACGGTCATGTTAGCATGCTCACATATTAAATAAAAGTTTTGTGGTTGTGCTTACTCACTACATCAAGATAAGCAGTACATAAAAGAACATGAGAGCTTCATTAACTACATATAGTTACCTCATTAGCACCACCATGAAGAGGTCCATATAGAGCTCCAACAGCCCCAGCAATAGCAGTGTATACATCAACGCCACTAAAATAGGATAACAGCTAAGCAATGTCAGATTGACTGCTTTATGTTGTTTGAGTATAATAGCTGTAAGATGTCTACCTTGACGCAAGGTGTCGGACAGAAGATGTGGAGCAATTCATTTCATGTTCTGCATGTAGAATGAAGGTAATGTCCAGTGCTCGAGTTAGCTGAGGATTAGGTTTATATGACCGATTGCCTCTGAAAGCACGCACAGTGTAGACTTTAATTGTATTAAACTCTTAAGAAAAAAGAAGCAGCAGCAGCTAGTATGTAGCTAATCTATCATCCAAGATTAAATTATAGTTCTTTTGAAAAAAAATGGATTGGTTCTATATGAGCACAAAGATCAAGCCATGAGTAAGCTATGAAGAATAAATAAATAAATAAAAAGGACTAGTTTGTCTTATTCCAAATTATCAATCAGACCTAAAAATACCATAAGACATACAAAGAATCTAGCATGTATAAGAAGTTCTCTGTGTAAGAAAGGTGGTTGGATGGAAGCACAGGTGGCCTTCCTGCCATTCTAAGATAAATCGCAGCAGCAATTGTTGTTATCTGCAGTCAAAACAATAATAATTATACTATTGCAATAAAGAAGTAGGACATATTGCAATAGAGTTACGTGACTACTGTACAAAATCTCACAAGAGACAAGCTGTAAAACCAGTGCCAGAAGCAATCAAAATAACTGAATAAGCTACATATTATACATATCAGAGATAGAAGGGTGAGAGGAGTAAAGAGAACTGGACAAGTACACCTTTCCAATAACCCGTGCTATTTGTTTGTCTCTCACTTGCTTTGAGTTGTAAATCTCATGACCCTGCATCCAATTATAATAAAAAATTAAATGAAAAAAGTTGAAGCTGAATTAATTAATATAGCACAGGCTGAACGGCAATAACAATGTAACATGTTGAATCCTAATAAGAAAAAATGTACCACTCACATGTGCATTGTACTAGCCCATGAGGAAAAGAAATATCCAAAAGGAAGCCCTTGCCAAAAAATAAAAAGTATAAAATCTAAATGGGAGGCAGACAGGTAGAATCAATAAATATAAGTGTCTATCTTTTTTCTTCTTTTTTGACACTGTCAAAACCAACTCTCCAAAAAAACGTAAGCTATCAAGTGGGATCCTGAGATTAGTTTTTTTATCTTTAATATCCTCCTTCACACAAGAGTCCTTTGAGTTTTGAATTGTAGCAATGCTTGTACTGAAATTCGAGTTAATTATGAAGAATGGGGACAGCATGGATCAAACTCCTCACTGCTAGGTCAGAAAGCTATAATAACATGTCAAAGACCAAGTCTCCCAAAAGTTTAGGCTATTAGGAAGAGGTCCAAGATCGACTTTTTTATTGTCACTAAAAATAAGCATTATCTGATGGTAAGTACGGTAGTTATTGACTTACCAACGGGTCATCATTTTTTATGTCTTTACTAATTACAATTTCAAATCTGGGGTAAATACTGCTTCGAACTACGAAAAAAAAAAAAAAAACAACCATTTGCAGCTTTCTTTCGTAATACACTTAATGCAGGTACAAAACTTCGGTGCATCGGATGTACCCAATTGGGTACATCTTTTTTCCAAAAGTAGAAAAAAAATTCATGTGGTGGGAAAGTTTTTTTCAAAAGTGGTGAAATTTTTTCGAAACGTGGAAAAAAGATGTACCCAGTTTGATGCACCGAAGTTTTGTCCTTAATGCAGAGCAATAACCTCTGACAATTGCTACCAATTCAGCCCCTTCAGGTTACTTGCAGAAATAAAATTAATTTACAGATTAATGTAACAAGATATTCCCAATTTGATATTAAGAATTTTACAAATTACTCTGATAGAAATCTAAAATCTACAAGAATACACGTAATGTTGACTGAAACTCATTGCTGTAAAAAATCCTGGCACAATTCAAATTCGAGAAATGAAACAACCTTTTGAAAAATATAGAAATTCAAAAGAAGACAAAGTTCAACAAATGAAAAAAGTAAGAATGTATTGTGGCCCACGGAATTAAGATATACAAAGTGTCATGTTATGTTATTACCATACACTTACATCAATACAGAAGCAAGTTCAAAAGGTGAGCAACATGACAGCAGTTTATGTTACTTACTCTGAGAGCAGGATTTGCATCAGGATGAAAAACAGAAAGAGCACTCAAAGCATTAACAAGCACACCCATAGGATGTGCATCATGAGGCATTGATTGTATGATATCCTACAAAACAAACATAAGATGATACCACAACTTAGTTAGATTAATAACCCCATACTTTATTAAAAGAAATGAACATTGTAATCTCTCTTCTTTACATGATCACTACGAAAGAATCCTGTAAGTGGTTAAAAAAGAAATTCTTAAGCTTGTACATTGAAAAACAAACCGGTCTGGAAAATTAACAAGTGATCTTCTAGAACATGTACTATATTTGGAAACCTGCTTTAAGTCATAGTAAAATTTTGCTTAAACCAGAAGAAAAAAAAAATGGCGAAAAAAGAACATATACTTCAGAAATATAAAGTGCTTCCGAAACTCTACCAAAAAAAAAAAGTGCTTCCAGAAAACACAATTAGAAAATATTCCATCAGATGTCTCTCATAAAAACACAAATATAATTAAATAACTACTAGATTTCTTTAACAACATAAAATACCACTGGCATATTAAATTTCAAGCAGCAAAACAATAATTGGAAGTTATTTACGAATCTAAAAGCTGCCACTGACTGAAACAAATAAATAAATAAACCACAGTCAGAGCTATTCGCATAAAAGCTCACCAAAACTCCTTGTGGAACAGCTGAATGCTGAGATATAGTGAACTTCCATTCTGCTAACTGACTTTCAGAAGGCAAACTTCCATAAACTAACAAACATAAAAAGATGAAGTTAATAAACTTCGGAAAAAAAACATGCTAATATGCTATGCATGAACCGAAGCATGTAATTAACAGGATACATAATTGCGCCCAACATGCATGTGTCTTCACTGACATAAAATCTTTATATAAGCTAATCATCAGTCAAAATGTTTTATCTACTTAAAAACAAGGTTAGAAAAATAATATTCACGTATGAGATAGGACACTTCGGTAAAAGTGCTTTTTTCTGCCAACTCCTCAATTGGGTAGCCTCTATATCTAAGAATTCCCTCATCGCCATCAATATAACTAATTGTTGATCGAACAGGAGCTGTGTTTAAATACCCCGGATCATAAAGCTCGAGTCCCTTATCATTCTTCCCAGTTGATATCTGCAATTAAAAAATTTATGAACCCCACAATCTAATATTAATAACAAAATAAATAAATAAGCATAAACAATCATACTTTAATTACAAATTACCCCAACTATGATTCCAGCATGTAACTTTGAATAATAATAATAATAATAATAATAATAATAATAATAATAAAAATCAACTTTCTTCTAAGAAGCATACCATGAGAAGCAACAAACAATTCAACAAAGCTGAAAGAAGTAGAATTGACGAAGACCCATTTTACCATATTTGAAATTCCTTCAGAAACCAATGTTAAAAATGAAACTTTCATTGATGATCAGAAATACCTTTTTGAAGTCAGTAGCTTTGATAGTGCCTTCAGGGGAGACATCAACCTGGTACATTTTTCCGGTCCTCTCATCGACGATGGTCAAGGTGCCATTGAGGTTCGCCGGCGGAGACTGGGCCGAGAGACGGTGAAGGTGGACCTGATTGATGGGTTCGGCGAAAGTAGAGGGCAGTAGGTGAGCTGTGAGCATTTCCAAACGGCCACGAGCAAGAACCGTCGCTGATTCTGAATCGGTTAACATTTTCACTTTGCAGGAGAATTGGAATTCGGAGAGGAAGATAGGTAATATAAAATTGGATTAAGAAGAAAGTGAGAAAGATAATGTCACACAAAAAATTAAAATAAACTTCACAAATTGTCAAATTTCTATAAATAATGACATACATTTCGATACTGCACGTGGTCCCACTTACATTATCATTGTTATTGCTGACGATAGTTATTTGTGACAATGGCTACGGGTGTAAATGGGGTTTAGCATTTATGAGAGGTTTATAATCAGCTTATCTTATGTCAGACTTGGTCACAGTACTATTTTTTAAATAGAACAAATTTAGATTTTTGGAAAAATTTATTTAAAAATTAGGCTAAAGGTCTATTTGAAAAAGTTCTGCAGGTTACTTTTTTAAATTTTTTAATAATATAATATATTTATGATATATATTGCTCGCTCAAAGATATATTTTAAAACAGAGTCAATGTATCGCACATTGGTCATTTTTTTACCAATGTGTCGTACAAAACAGTGTTATCTTTTAAGGGATAGGATATTGCGACATACAAATAATGTTATGCACAATGTTACGACCATATCTTAACCGTTAATTTCCGCCAATCAACGGTTATCATTTATTGCGAATTAATAATTAATTAATGAGTTTGATTTGAAAAATGATAACCGTTGATTGGCGGAAATCAACGGTTAAGATGTGGTCGTAACATTGTGCGTAACATTTTTGTATGTCACAATATCTTATCCCATCTTTTAATATGTCACGCGTCCAAGTTCACTATAGGAGGTAGCTAACTTGACTTGCTGATGTAGCGTGTTTATGCTGGCAAACTAGGTGGCAATTAATGCCACCTGCTATCAGTGGTGGAGCCACGTATTGGCTGGGTGTGCCTGGGCTCGGGTTAAATTTTAACAAATTTTATTTATTATATATATTTATATAATTAATAATAATTTGGCCCAAATTAAAATTATAATTTGGCCCGGGCTAAAATTAAAATATATTTGATGAAGGATTTGAGTAGGTTGTATCAAGTTATGTGTTCCATTTCAACTTGTAACAAAAAAAATTAAAAGTATTTAATAAAATTAAAAAATATTTAATAAAGTTGTCACTCTTTGACTCTTTTTTTTTTTGAAAATATTCCAATCGGTTCATTACTTCGCAACTAATCCGATTCGGGGCGGGTCCAGGATTAAGGCTTTAAACCCCTCCCAAAGGTGGTACTGGAGAGATTCGAACACATGCTCTCCCCCCACCTGCTTAGCTCCCATGCGCCAACTGAGCTACCACCATTTGGTCTCTTTGACTCTCTTAATTTATGTTTCATCTTCCCGCTCCTGTTCTAACTTCTAAAGTCAAGCTCTCTCTTTCACCAGGTACTTGGCTTCTTTTTTTTCCGTTTTCAGCTTTTTTCTCTGCCAATGGAGCTAAGCTAAGGCTCCTAGCTTTAACCCAACTAGTTTTTAGGAATTTTTGTTCTTTCAATTTTTTTCCCCAACAAAAAGTTCATAGTGGAAAGGAACCACTTTAACGCTGATGCCTCTCTTTCAATTTTTGTTCTTTCTCTGCAAATTTAGCGCTGATAAAGGCACCACTTTCCTCAAAGTGGGAGCAAAAGCCTTAGGTGACCATTTATTATTTTATCATTTTATGGCATCGATCTTTATCATCTTTGCTCTGTTAGTGTTTGTTCTTTTTGCCTGCGACCCGTGGACATTTTGAACAACATATTGGTCCTATTAAGCAGTAACAAAGTATATATAATGGATTGATGATGCTAACTCTATTTTTTTTAGGTGTGGGTTTTTTAAAGAGTACTATTTTGTTCTTTTTATTCAGATTTAAAGTTAGATCTACTACGAAGACACTTGAATAGAATATTCTGTGAATATAAATGTAATAAAATTTTCTCTTTTGTTTTTGTTTTGGGAGAATTAAATCATCTATTAGTGGACAATGGGCACATGGCAGATATTTTTATTTGCAATTCATCAGCCAAGTTACATGGAGATGGAATTATATAAACTCTCGGTTTAGCTTATTTGTACTTTTTAATGTGAACTTGTTATGTTTTCTAGTGAGTTAATTATTGTTCAGTTTTAATGATTCAGGTATGTGAAAAGGAAGCATTTTATTGATGTTACTGAAGTGTTTAGGGTACTTAATATGCTAAGAAGAAATTTTGGATAGCCAAATTCTTTTTTACATAATGGTGCTCCTTATAATTGCTGAAAGAGATAAAATTTGGTTGTGTATGTTGAAAGAGATATTGCTTAAACTTTTACTACAGATTCGATCCTTGAAGATTTCGTTAATTTAAAAGAGCGCCGCTTACACTTTTAGGTATGCAATTTTTTATTATATTTTAAATTATTTATTAAATGTTATTATACCTATAATTATTATATTTGTGTGTTTTCATATTCTTAGGGCAATGCTTGGTTCATTACTTATTATGATGTGTGAGGAAAATGCAATTCTTATCTTTGAAATTCTTACCGGAAAGGTTAGTGCTTTTATGTTTGCTTTGATATATAATCATTGACAATTGTTCATTTGAATTTTTAATGTTATGTGAGATTATTTAGTAAATCATTTAGATCTGTATGCTAGAATTCATAGTAAATTTTTTTCCTAATAAATATATGTAATTACGATAAGCATTTTGATAATTTAATATGTAAATTTTTTTGGCTCGGGCTAAATTTACAGCCTGGCTCCGCCACTGTCTGCTATGCCCATCTGCCATGCCATGTGGCAGGCTCAAAGGAGTTTGTTGGATGCGCCAGCGAACTAGGTGCAACGATAATAAAAAAAATAGTCGTTGGACCACATGTAAGACGTGCACAAGTTCGCTAGGTGGGTAGCAAGCTTAGTTCAACCGCGACACACACTCACATAACTCCCTTTCCCTTTCTCTCTCTCACTCTCACTTACACTACCTCTCTCTCTAGCTCTCTCATAACCGTCTCTTTTGGCAAATTTGATATATTTTAGAAGAAACATCATAAAGGTTAGTATTTTATATTTTATTATTTCTGCATTATTTGATATTAATTATTTAAAGATAGAAACCTTAGGTTAGAAGACTTTTTATATTTTATCATTTTTGCATTATTTGATATTAATTGTTTATAAGGTAGAAACCTTAGGTTAGAAGACATTTTGTATTTTATTATTTCTGCATTATTTGATATTAATTGTTTATGGGGTAGTAATCTTAGGGTAAAAACCTTAGGTTAGAAGAGATGTATATTAATGTTATTATATCACTTTGTAGAAACATTAATATATAGGATATTGTATGTAATATTTGATAATTCTTAATTAAAATTAGGAAGAGATTTTTATTATGCTTTATATAATTTATTTTAATATTAAATATTTTATGACTTGACACCTTAGAAGATATATATATATATATATATATATATATATATATATATATTAAAATATAGGATGGAGCCCATATGGATTTACTATTATATTAATGTTATTATATTAGTGTGTGAATTATTTTTGATGTTAAAATTAAAATTTTGAATTATGTTAAATTGCTTTTATTTTTATCATTTTGATTTTAGGTCTCCAAACCTCAGGTTACTTTCGCCTAATTTACTGGAAGGGAGGGAATGTTGAGTGCTTGACTGTCCATCATAGTTTATTTCCTCATACAATTTGATGAATGAGGACTCTTGTTGCTCTCGAAATGCGTCTACTACTAACGTTACATCTTCATTCTCGACAACATCGACAGCAACCCACTGCACCAGGTTACCCAAGGCACATCTAGCAATCATTCGAGAGAGGGATTGATGCCAATGTAATCTCAACTTCTTGTATATTATTTTCTTCAGGTCATTATAACCACATTGGACGCCCATTCGGAACATTTTTGTATCTCCTTTAAAAACTTGATCATTTGCTCCAAAATATCTCCTCCCATTATAATACAAAATAACTATTAAATCATTGCTACTCTCACTCATGCAGTGTGTAAAACATCTCTATAAGACATCCCTCGGGCACTCTCGCCATCCTAAGAATTCTCAGATGCAAATAGTCCTACTGGCCAGCTAAATTACCAAGTATGAATTACTCATCGTCATGCAACAATCAAAATATACGGAAACACCATTCTATGTCACACCCAGTGCATACATATATCAATGCATTAAATTACTCTATTGCAATTACATACACCGATAATAGCCACTACCCCATCGGGGCTTGGTAGAACAATAAAGGGATAGATCCCAAGGTCCGAAGACTTACTTGCTCAAAGCTTCAAACCAACCTTTGTCTCACCACCAAATATGCAATCAACAAGCTTTATATCAAATTCACAAACTCACAAAATGAACACCTACACAAGGTGCAATGCCATCAATCAATTGCATCCATGAATATATCAATATTTATTAACAATCTAGGCAATTCAACACATTACACAAGTGAAGAGCTTACCTATACTTGATTTAATTCAAGTAACCAAATCGAGTTCCATTGGCTCAACCAATGTTTGATCACTCAAAGTAGGTCCACTTGCTTCAATCATATCAACATAATGGGCACTATCAATTTCCAATTCAAACATTCCAACATTCATTATTTGGAATGCAAGAAATCTCACTACATAGGCATAAATTTTGAAATTTAAAGAATGTGTGCAAAATGATCTTCCAAATACATTTTCATCATTAAAATCCTCATATAAACACTTTTCTCTAAAGGACCTAAGCCTCAATCATGCTCAAACTACCTCATTCAAGCCACATTTTCAAAAATCAAAACCTAAAACCCATTATCATAGAAACCATTGAAAAACTTGAATTTTAAAATGAACTCATCTAAAATCATGCAAGGAAGAGATTGCAAGCCTCACTTCAAGCAATAGGCGACTCCAAGACACATTTCCATGGATGGGGTGCCACTTTCCCCTCTATTTTCTCTCAATACAAGGCTTTTTGATAGATTATGAATTAGGAGTTGTGTTTGCCTCACAATTCTAAGCAATATTGGTTCAAAAACCAAGAAATTTGGTTGAGAAACACGAAAGTTAGGTTTTGAACTGCTTTGTCT